CGCGCAAGAGAGAGAAATATTTGAATATATATATATATATATATATATATATATATAGATAAAAATCTTTTTCTTGTCTTACTCTATCAAAAGAAATGCTGGGATTTTTGCATATTTAGAGATGACTGTAAATTAATAAGAAACTTCTGAATCATGGAGGTTGTAAAGTGGGAACAGTTGCTGGCAGATGTCAATTCTTCAGGTACAAACGTAGATATTACCAGGGATTCAAACACTTTTACTTCTGATCAGCCATTTTTGGTAGTTAAGATTCAAATCTTCTCTGTATTGTACATGAGTCGTTGAATGCTCTTGATATCAACTCCTTCACAGGAAATAAACAGCTCAGTGCTAAACTGATCGTTCATTTTGTATTGTTTCCAGTCAGCCTACTATTTTTACGGACATGTCCGGGAAATTGCCTAAAATGTCCAGGCTTTGGCTTTGTTTTTCTATTGACATGCTCTTTACAGTCCGCCTATTATGTGTTTAAGTATTTTTATTGCTTTGATCGTTTTCTGTAGATCCCGCCTTCTCGCACGCCACGATTGGTCGATTATGTACAATGCCTGCATGCTATTGGTCGAAATACCTTTCAGTCATTACCTTCAGCAAAGAGAAGAGATGAAACAACTTTCATCAAAGAGATGAAAACAACAGGAAAACAAAGCCAAAAAATAAATTTTAGGCAGTTTAGAAATCCTGGCCATAAATTATTCTGATGGTACAGTGACTTCTAATAAGGCGAATCGCTTCTGTTTTCTTCCCAAACGTGTGTTCTGTTTGGTGAGCGGGTACGAAATTCCGCGAAAAGGGCGGATTGCTTTACGGCAGCAATAAATGCACGCGTGCGTCCACTGTAATTACGGCAGTGGTACATTTACGACAATGAATTCCACTCACTTAACTGTAGGGGGCTCCCTACAGTCGCAAAAATACATAAAACTTCATACAGCTGCTTTAAGCAGATACGGACAACTAATCTAATACCATGAAGTCCAGGTATTTGTAAGTGACTTAATTGTCCAAAAGCTCTCTGCGGTTACTGGTTATATGCACAGCACTTTCAGTTCAGTTTCCTTATGTATTTCCTTATGTACAAGTTACATTTCCCCCAAAAAAAACGGTTAATGTCATTTTTCTGTTGAATTCTGTTTTTGGCCAACAGTATTGTCAGATGAGTTGCTGTACATAAGAGGATTCCCCTTCCCCCCCCCCCAATAGTTCAGCACATTAATAAATTTTTAGTATAATTTTCAAGGCAGATGCAGCCAAAAACATTATAAAAAATATATCAAATTATAAAAATTAATAGTGCGAAAACATCAAAATATTCGTTTTTTCAGATTGCTAAAATCTTTCCATTTTAATGTACCTTAGAGATGTATTATAGCTAAAAATAATTTTTTTGTACGGGTTCTTTAATCTATAAACTTTAAATACTCATTATTTACCCAAGAGTATACAGTGCCTTATGACCAATTTTCTTTTACAAGCACGGAAATGACGGCAGACCATATTTGGAAGTACAAACAAGGTTACATCATACTCATGTACATGCATACAATACTGTTCAAATGTTCACCAAGGCTGCATTTATGTGATCAAAAATACACTAAAATTAGTAATATTGTGCAATATTATTACAGTTTAAAAGAACAATTTTCTATTTGAAAATATTATCAAATTTAATTTATTCCTGAGATGCAAAGCTGAATTTTCAGCATCATTACTCCAGTCTTCAGTGTCACATGATCCTTGCTGATTTGCTGCTCAACAAACATTTCTGAATATTATCAACACTGAAAGCAGTTTTGCTGCTTCATATTTTTTGTAAAATAATTTCATTTATTTGAAATAGAGAACTTTTGTAACATTACAAATGTCTTTACTGACATGTTTGATCAATTGAATGCATCATTACTGAGTAAAAGTATTTATTTAAAAAATCTTCCTGACCCCAAACTTTTGAATGGTAGGGTATATCACTATATCATCAAGACTTATTTGACGTAAACAGTTGCTAACAGTAATATTTATATAAAATATTATAGCTTACAGTAATATTAGCTTATAATATTTTTTCCCTCTTCCTTCCTTCACACACCCATTCAGATTTCTGTAATACTGGACACGGCAATACAAAACAAGAATTTGAGGCTATGATGTAACTAGCCTATATCATTTTAAGATAGTATCCCTAATTATGCAACACTGTTTTACACATCCTTTCATAACACACCTAGAAAGACCGAGTCACAGGATGTCAGAATAAGAAAGTCCGGGGTAAACTGGATTTGCAGGGGCGGAGACACAGTTGTTTATGTGGTTTATGTCACAATTTCCTGCAACTGTTAACAAATCCTGACTGTCTGTTGTCTGACCTAACAGAAATTTCATGAAAATACAGTAATATTGTCTTAAATTGGCAAATCCGCAGCTGTTTTTATTAACTGATTTTTATGTGTTCTCATGACGTAAAGTGGCAGTGCAGCCGAGGTTAACATTTTATATCAGCATTTTGCAGAAGCTAAATGAAGAAGTTTCATAAACGCAGAAATTCTGCTGGACATTCTAGCCCCAATATTTGTTAATTGCATAACTAGACAAAACACCCAAAAACCCTCTCTGCTGAAGAATTTATTTTCATAATAACCCAATTGTGGACATTCTCCCATACACAAGAGGTAATTAATTAATCCAGAACTTTTGATGTATGACCTCAGTGAAAATTAAAGTTAATTAGATTATGTTTCTTAAAGTCTGAATCAGCTAAGTAATTCAGCACTTATGCTACAATAATATTTCTTCGTCATAGTTTCATTTAAACAGGCAGTTATTTAGGCAGTGTTTAAATGACTAAAAATGTCTTTTGTATTTTTAGGAATTTATCAAATATCATTTTAAAGGAGCTGTATGTTATATTTTTGAATGTTCTAAAGCATAAAAATAGCATAATAAGAAGTTATTTAGGAAACATGCTAAGTTCACATACTTCTTTTTCCAAAAAACACTGCTACAGCCGGTTATTCTACTTTGAAATGTGCATTTTGTGTCGGAATGTCTGTTTTTGCTTTGGTCTGTGTGACTCCGCCCACTGCTAATTTAGCCATCAGTATTACAACACCTCGGGTTGCCACGTGGTAAAAAACACAGCGCACTGCAGCCATGGAAGCCAGCAAATGAACCCAGTTAGAGGTCGCAGATTTTACCCAACCTAAAAAGCATCAGCAACCCAAAAAAAACACTATGACTAGAGACAAACTAAAACGTGGATAAGTATCCTTTCATTGTAAATTGCGCATTCTTAACCTGGCAACCCGCGTGAGACATTGTGACATTGGTCATGTGAACTACATGTTTAAATGAACAAACTTGGCGTTGCATTTGCAACCATGTGAAAACAGGGGGTAGCACCCCTACTTCCCGCGTCCCTGCACATATATAAAGGGCCAGATTTTTGTGTAAATGTCTCATTTCAACTTTTCAGTCGAATTGTTATGCAAATGATATCATTTGCAATGTATGAAATATGCACAATTTTTGCACCCCACTGAACGAGAGTATCACAAACACAATGACACATTTCTTTAATAACCGTCATCTAACTCTATCTCATGTGGACACTGCTGTTTGACGTCTCTGACCCCTGAATGTGATATTATGGGCTGTTATCTGGTTCTTGCGGGAGTGGGGCTTGAGTGAGTCGCTGCCTTTTCAGGGATCATGTCTCAAGATCAGTCTGGAGTGAGTGGCACTTTTACCGCATGCACCTGAAGAGATTTACTGCTCCTCACAGCACAGACACTAACACTGCATGGAGGACTGAGACTCAACAAAATAGCATCGTAGGTATTGTAAGTCTTACATTTCTGTCAAGTACAAGTAAATCTCAAAAAGTGTGTACAAGTTTTTGCTCATTTTGCCACAGATTGGTGTCAGTTGTGACCGGGGCTAGTTGTCACATGGGTTATATTTTACTAACTATGTTTTCAGTTTCATAAATAATTGTTTTCTAATGTTAGTATCATGTGTAGTTTAAAACGGTTGCAAATTAGGATAATTTTTGTGAATTCTTTCCTACAAACAAAAACTTTAGTTACATCATAGTATTGCAAAAGCGGATGGAAAACAAGTGACCACACAAAAAAACCAACTGCGTAATTACAATTTTTGCTGAACAAAACAATAGGCTCATATTATTGTATTTAACCTTCTACATTTTTGTTTCTTTAATACTTTGTTTTATTATTATTTTGAAAAGCCTGTAATAAGCTGCTTAATGGCAACTTTGCATTATGACAGACCATATAACATTTTAGTAGTTAAGACCTTGAGAAATATTTATTATTTTTATGTTATTGCATGCCTAATCATGCAAAAATACTAATACTATAATAAAATGTTGTCGTGCTGTCTTCAATTTAATAAGGTTATATATATATATATATATATATATATATATGGTTTTCTTGTTTCTACTTGCAAAACAAACGCTGTTAATTACTTTTTAACATTAAAAAATGCCTCCCTGCTTTTTATTTATTTATTTATGTATTTTTTATTTTTTTACTACTACTTATGGCAATATTTTTTCAAGAATTGTAACTTTTAATGAGACTTTTTTTCCTTTTACAATATCTGACTGTACTTTAGAACACTTCAAACTGACTTTTAATTAAGTGAAAACAGAATCATCGTCATCAAAGGGTTGAATCCAAGTTATTCTATGTATGATTAGCATTTTTGGGTTGAATCCAAGTTATTCTATGTATGATTAGCATTTTTTTTATGTATTTTTGAATAAATTATTAGACAACAAAACGAGCATGATGTCATCGCGAGCGCACGAGAGTTTGCGCACAACCTCCTTTTCTTTGGAGAAAATGAAAATAATTGTGCTGTACAGTTCTCTATCGTGACAGAGGAAAGTTTGTGAGTTTATTTACACTTCAAAGGATCATTTGTGACTGTGACCAGTTATGTCGAAATTTACAAACTTCTACTCCTTTGTTGGTATGGATTACGCGCTCCTCTGACAGGGGAAGTTCCCTGATGGAGGACATAAAAGCACACTTCCACCGTCACAAACACATTCAACCGAAGACTCTCACGAGAGAAACAACGATTTAATCAGCTCAGTAACTCCAGAGAGGGAACTGAACTAAACGACAGGTATGTAGCGTACAATGGACTTTCACGTGCATCTTGATTTAACGTCAGTTTTTAAAGATAAAGATTATCATTTTCTCACCGTTTAGTTTTATGCTTTATTTTAGAACGATGGCATACCATGGATATGAATATATTTTGGATTCGGCGGAGTAAGTATCACTTGGTTTTTTATATTATTTTTATGAATGCATTATTAAATAGTTCTTGACTAGATAATGGGTTTAACGTAAAATCTGTACATGATGCAAAACATTTCTATTTCTTTAACTAGCTTTGGTTTTCTTTGGATTAGTTTGCCTGAAACTCCTCTAATGCTGCATTTCGTTCGTTTCCTAAACAGTGCATTCAAAACAGACAGTGCAATTTACTCTGACAGTGCTGACTCTGATGAACTGGACTGCCCAGATCAGGTCATGGTGAGTTGCTGTTAAATATGCTCATGGATATGGTCTGATTAATATCAAGTCTTCTAAAACGTAGTTTTTTGTTGTTTTTTTCCTTCAGAGTTGCCAATGCCACATGCATGAAGACATCAAAGTGGAACTGTCGCCGCATCCTCACAGCATGAGGCAGGTGGTGAACATCATCATTGCTGTGGAAAGGTTGAAGCACATCAAAGGAATGTCTTCTGGCAAGTTTTGTGAAGATGCGCTGCTCAACTTCATCTTGGAGAATGTGATCGAAGGTACCATTAGCAAACTTTTAAGCAACTAAAACTGGCTTCTGGTGGTATGATAGTTGGTCAAGATGGTTAGAGCTGGTAGGACCAGCAACAAACCATACTGACCACCTTAACCATTATGTTACGTAGCTGGCCAATTTGACCCAGATTGTCGGAAATACTGGTTAACCTATGTTTTTTTTCTTCTTCTTCTTCTTCTTCATATTTTGTGACTTGTGTGTGGGTCAACTTGAATGGCAAATTCCATGGTTAAAGGCAGTTGCACAACCAAAATAATATTTTTTATGCATTTTGAGGTTCTCAACTACTCTCTAAGAAGGGTGTTGACATGTACATGTATGCATCTGGCAGATGCTCATATCTGATAAAAAATTGAAAGAAAACAAACAAGGATCTCGAATCCAAGATTTGGTTATAATATAGCATAATGACAGATTCACAAGCAATTTTTAAAAGGCCAGTCATTTTTGACTGAGAACACCAAATTAGGTAAAGGATCTTCAGCACAGCACAAGGGTTAAAGATTTACTCATACTACCTGATTTTTGATTGTATTATATCAAATCAAATTTGGGTCAATTTGACACTGTAAGATCGTACTCAGATTTTTAACACAGTACAAAGTGTGTTTGTTTGTCAAACCTCTATAACATTAATGAGAATCTACAATATCAAACTAAGTATTTTTTGACTACCAAACGGTTTAAGCATTTGTTCTCTTTTGGTTGTTCTTTCTATTTCCACAGAGCGTCTGGCGAAGCCGCTTAATGTAACACCAACTTACTGTAAGACCAGCCGGACCTTGCAGTGCACCGTTTGCGATAAGTACAAAAAGACTCTAGTCCAGAGCAACAAACTAGGCAGCGAACCTCTTCATTTGAAGGCTGTGACGCTGAGTGCTGAAGCAATTCAATACAAAGGTAAATCTTTATAACACAAGCTTTTGCATGTTAATGCATGACTTCAGAAATATCCTTTTGACGTTTCCCCTTACACATTTTCTGTTTCTTTCAGTTCGATTCAGTATGTCAACGTACGTATCGAGTGCCCCACAAAAGGACGCCCAGCCTGTGTGCCTGGGAATTTCCAACAGCAACCTCTACCTTGCTTGTACCCAGTCGGGTGGTTCTTCCCCCGACCTGCTCTTGAAGGTTCGTGCAGCACAAACTCATTAACCTTCCCTAAAAAATGTTTTCCACATCATAAAATGAGGATTTAAACACTTTTTTTATTGTTTTTAGGAGGTCAGTGGCCCTCTGAACACGATTAAAGCCGGTGACCCGAATGGGTACGACAGCCTCCTCTTCTACAGGAAAGAGACCGGCACGGCTTACAACAGTTTTGAATCCGTTAAATATCCTGGATGGTTTATTACCACAGCTTTTGATGATTGGGAGAAGGTGGAAATGTACCAGGTGCCAACTAACCGAACCACAAACTTCACACTTGAGGATCAACAACTACTCCCGAGTTAAGAATCAGATTTGATCCATAAACACATTTCCAGAGAATATGTACCATGTACAGTTTATAATCTGGATTTATTCAGCGTTACAAACCTGTATAAGTTGATGTATCGATCTGTTGTTGTTGTTGTTCTTTCCACTATATGTGTAAGGTTTGTGTTGGGGTTGGTAAATTCATGTTGAATTCTTTAAGTACGAACATTTGCCTATGTGCTATATTTAATTTTTTTTATTATGTTTAATATTTATTTTAAATTATTTTGAAATCAGACTTATTTTACACTGCACTGATTTATTTTTTATTTTTTTTAAATAAATTTAAGACATGGATGTTACTTGGTGTTGTGTAGTTGATTAAAACAACAGACCTTGTTCACTGTTTTTCTTTTGAACAAGCTGGACCAAAAAAAGGAATCTGTTCTGAAAAATCCACTGAAAAGTAGTATTTTACTTAAGACTATCATATAAAAAGATAACAGAATACCAAAGTGCACTAACAAATAAGTCACTGTGCACAAAAAGAAAAAGCAAAATCTTGTGCTTAACTCTTAACAGCATAAATTAACTGCATTTATACATTTTAAGGCACTAGTTGGATACACCCGATTAACACAATTAGCAGAACACTAATTCTTTCTAATAGAACGAATAGATAATTTACATTCATCTTACCCATAAATGCATGTTTTGTTAGCTGAATTGCCCCAAAAATGTATTAAAAAACATTAAACATTGACAATTTACTTAGAAACATGAGGTCGGGAAATATATTGAAACTTTAAAAATAAATACATAAAATAGAATAATTAATAGCTTGTATTTCAAAGGGTGGTTAAAATTTATGCTTGGAAAAATAACTTATGTTATCATTTTTTGTTTTATATACCAGGTCTTGCTACAGAATTTAAAAATTTGACATGAGCGCCTTCATGTGGTAAAACATTTCACTGCATACAGACAGTTCATTGAATTACATAAGAATTACATAAGAAACACAAGCCTCCTTCGTGTTGGATATTAAGTATGAATGTTGTCTATTAGTTTTCCTTTCGGTTCATAATATGACAATGATCTTTAAACTCTTGATATCAGAAGATTTATAAGTGTTTCAAATAGAGTACATCAAATGTCAACTTATTTCATTATATATTA